TACATGATAGTTATCAGTAGACACACACTATTCCACTCAGTCATAAACAACACTAATCATACTATTAAGAAGCTTCTATGGCCACTAACACACATAGACCAGAGAGGGTCAATGTCATTCTACCAGCTAACATCGTGTATACAGTAGAAAAAGGTAAAGCATATATTCATCGCTCTGCTCGTGCCGCCGCTTTCGTCCCTCCATCCATCTCTCGTTCTCTTTCTTCTCTCCATTCATATGGAGAATGTGACATTTCCTCCATATTGAGCTATCAGCCGTTACAGATAAGACCCATCTCGCTTCAATTCACTGTCTGTTTGTTTATCAGAGTGTAGACAGGACAAACACACAGGCTGCCATTAGTCCCACTGGCCCCTCTTAGAGCCTAGTGAATAGCTCTTACAAATAAGTGTGTGTGTGGTGCTTGTGTGTGAGAAAGAGAGCATGTGTTTTCTTGTGTGTGTGTATCACTGTATTGCTGATCCAGTAATTACCTGTATAGTCTATGTCTCAGTGGCTCAGCGCCCACAGTGCTGACACCACGCATAGTGAGGGGAAGGCTTTGTTATGTGTGTGTGTGTGTGTGTGTGTGTGTGTGTGTGTTTGGCCTTTGTTAGGAGATAATACCACACACACAAAGAACACAAACCGGAGACAACATACAGTTACAGCTTCGACAATAAACTATTCAGTTCAGTGGACATTGCTAGTATGCAGTATTTGAAGGGAAAGATACAGTGCTTGCCGTCGAACAATGCATATGGCTTGCTTCTGCATTACTCTACAACAAATAGAGCTTGCCAGCTTGTAGTCCTAAAACCCGGAAATAAGTTACCTCTGGTTCGTTCAGCCATCCCTATGGGGAAAATGAATGGGGAAAGAATAGGGTTTTGGGATAAACGCCGAAAATAAGGTCTGAGGTTAACGCGTTATACATTTTGTTCTATGAGATAATATCAGTCAGTTAACATGACCTTTATGAATTATGAAGCCTTTAAGTGCTTTATTTGATTACATAAATGCTTCAAAATTCACAAAAAGTGACGGTAGCTGATGAAGATGATCTCACAGAACAAAACGTATAAGATCTCCTAAGCCTGTGTTTACCGCAGACCTTATTTCTGCGTTTATTCTATAGGCTTTGTCCAACGAACCATGGCGGAGTTAGTGCCTACAAAAATACGCTGTTACTATTTCTCTCCATAGCCTAGAGTGCACACATATAGGAACGCAGACCTAGCTACTATTTGATTGCAAGAGATTCAGTGCTTTCAGAAAGTATTCATACCCCTTGACTTATTCCACATTTTGTTGTGTTACAGCCCGAATTCAAAATTGACTCATCTACAAATTGACTCACCTACACACAATACCCCATGACAAAATGAAAACAAATGTTAGAACATTTATTGAAGATGATATACAGAAATATCTCATTTACATAAGTACTCACACCCCTGAGTCAATACATATTAGAATCACCTCCTTCTTTTCACTCTGTCATTTAGGTATTGTGGAGTAACTACAATGTTGTTGATTCATAATCTGTTTTCTCCTATCACAGCCATTAAAATCTGTAACTGTTTAAAAGTCACCATTGTCCTCATGGTGAAATCCCTGTGCTGTTTCCTTCCTCTCCGGCAACTAAGTTAGGAAGGATGCCTGTATCTTTGTAGTGACTGGGTGTATTGATACACCATCCAAACTTTAATTAAGAACTTCACCATGCTCAAAGGGATATTCAATGTCAGCTTTTTTTATTTTATTTTAATCTACCAATAGATGCCCTTCTTTACGAGGCATTGGAAAACCTCCCTGGTCTTTGTGGTTGAATCTGTTTTTGAAATTCACTGCTCGACTGAGGGACCTTACAGATAATTTTATGTGTGCGGTACAGAGATGAGGTAGTCATTCAAAAATCATGTTAAACACTATTGCACACAGAGTGAGTCCATGCAACGTATTATGTGACTTGTTAAGCACATTTTTACACCTGAACTTATTTAGGCTTGCCATAACAAAGGGGTTGAATACATTTCAGCTTTTCATTTTTTATTAATTTGTAAAAATGTCGAAAAACACAATTCCAATTTGAGATGATGGGGTATTGTGTGTAGGCAAGTAACAGAAAATCTTAATTTAACACATTTTAAATTCAGGCTGCAACACAACAAAATGTGTAAAAAGTCAAGGGGTGTGAATACTTTCTGAAGGCACTGTATGTCTGACTATTTATTTTACCATTCCACAATAAATATACAGTAAGGCATCCCTCCATCTACAGTGTCGATCTGAAACAGCTAGCTATTTATCTGTGTACGCCTACTAGTGTTAATTGTCTGTAGTCTTGTCCATAATCACAAGGTTATCAATCTGACATTCCAAACTGCATTATCATCGCTGCTTTCGGAACTAGAATGAAAACATCAACATTCCGGATTCCCTCCATAAGATTCACATTCATCATTTTGTCAACATTCCCTTTAAGAATGCCTTATTCTTTGTAATCAGGCATGTGACAGCCTGTCTGTGGTTCCAATCTCTCATGCGCTAGCGCGCGCGCGCACACACACACACACACACACACACACACACACACACACACACACACACACACACACACACACACACACACAGCATGATGAGTAGAAGGGGTCATTATGAATAATAGAAGATAAACAGATATGCTTCTTGGGATTTAAATTAATTCAATGATTTTTGAATTTCATGCATGCGGGGACACGATACACTGAAGCACACAGGCTGCTCCCTATTCAACAAGGACAGCGTTGCCATACAACCCCTGTGTGTGTGACCCCTGTTGAGTCACCCTTAATCAGAGAGTAAGCTACATCTGATAAAGTAAGAGCCAAAAGGCACAGTCACACACTGTGGAACAGTCATAATGCTACTCGATACCAATCTCCACCCATGAGAAACCAGAGATAGGCCTAGGTCTCTGAGCTTTGCTCTTCTGGCATTAATCACAACCCATAGCCATTGAGCCAAAGGCTGGGTCACACTCAAAACATAGTTACAAACCAAGAAATGTATGTATATAACATATCGGAGCATATTCATGCAAAGTGGTGGGTACTGATGTAGCTGACTAACTATGCTGTAATCTTGTAAACCCCAATGTTTTATCAGTGCTGATATATAATGGCCAATGTGTGAGGGAACAGTGTGTTTGTCAAGCTCTTTAACAGAGATTAAGAGAGAGAGAGAGAGAGAGAGAGAGAGAGAGAGAGAGAAGGGTGGGGGGGGGGGGAATCTATATCTGTAGATAGCAGTGTCTGGTGTGAAAACTGTCAGCAGTATTTTAACAGCCAGTGCTTCATATTCAGAACAGAGCTATTTCCGCCTCACTCGGTCTGTGCCTGCTGAGAAAACCACTTCTTTCTCTGAAAGTATTGGGTATATGTTGTGAAATTATTAGATATTACTTGTTAGATATTACTGCAATGTCGGAGCTAGAAGCACAAGCATTTCGCTACACCCGCAATAACATCTGCTAAACACGTGTATGTGACAAATAACATTTGATTTGATTTGAAAGGGAAATACACAGAGTATACAAAACATTAAGAACACCTATTGCATGACAGAGTGACCAGGTGAAAGCTATGATCCGTTATTGATGTTTCTTGTTAAATCCACTTCAATCAGTGTAGATGAATGGAAGGAGACAGGTTAAAGAAGGATTTTTAAGCCTTGAGACAATTGAGACATAGATTGTGTATGTGTGCCATTCAGAGGGGGAATGGGCAAGACAAAAGCCATGATGTATGGTAGGTGCCAGGCGCACCGATTTGTGTCAAAAATGTCAACGCTGCTGGGTTTTTCACGCTCAACAGTTTCCCGCGTGTATCAAGAATGGTCCACCACCCAAAGGACATCCAGCCAACATGACAACTGTGGGAAGCATTGGCGTCAACATGGGCCAGCATCCCTGTGGAACGTTTTCGACACATTGTAGAGTCCATGCCCCGGCGAATTGAGGCTGTTCTGAGGGGTGTGCAACTTAATATTAGGAAGGTGTTCTTAATGTTTGGTATACTCAGTGTATATGATAAGACTGTTTGGGGTTTCAAACATAACTACACCAGCTTCAACTCAGGGGCTTGTACAACTCTGTCAATAACAACGACTACACACTACTCATAGTTATTGCAATTTATCTCCAGTTAAAATGTTGACTCATGATTCTGGAGCAATATAGAGTCAAGGTTGGAAGGTTTATAATCTAACCATTGCCAGGGCAACAATAACAACAAAAGCCCCACCATACCATCAGCTCACATGAGAAGTAAAGTAAAGCTGTGGTGTTAGCAGCTACACATGAACGCTAATAAAACCACAGCGTCTTCAGGTTCTCACCCAGGGCGTCAGCTAGCTGCCTGGTTTCTCACAGCTTCCATCCTAACCAGCTAACAGCAGCTATGTGGTTTACCATTAATGAGCCTGATCAAACGAATACTTTTTTATTTCTGTTAGAACATGAATATTGTCACAGGTTTTTATGAAACTCTAAATAAAATACAAAACAACTCTAACTGTATGAAACTCAATGTACAGTACTGCCAATAGCATGCTGTGAGGGTAGGAACTGCACTGGTGTTTTTGGCTTGTTTATTTGGTTTAGGTATATATGCTTTAGCTCTCCAGAAGTGGAGTTGGAAATCCCTGTAAAGGAAGATAATCTGCCCAGCACATCACAGACCCAGAACAAGGCCGTCAGACAGACAGAAGATGAAATATTTAGAAGACGAGCAGCACAACTCTTCACTTATTCATTGTTCAGACAGACAGACATTCAAATGTCTGGGCCAAGATGGGAAAACAGAGAGAATTCCCTCCTCAGCTGTTGTAGTCTGGGTCATGATGGCGGAGGAGAGGACTGGGGTGAGCTGAGCACTGTCAGTAAAATCAGAGCTAGTTCCCAACTCGGAGTAAACACACAAACACGCACACACTATCAAACAGACACTCGGGCCTACCTTCACGTCTCGATGGATGACGTTGTTGTCATGGCAATATCGTAGTGCCTCTAGGATCTGTCTCATGTAATGACTGGAGAGGGACAGAGAGAAATAAAACACCATGACTGTCGATTGAAACAACATTGTTGTAATCAGTGGTGTAAAGTACTTACAGTAAGTAAAAATACTTTAAAGTACTACTTAAGTAGTTTTTTTTAATCTGTAATTCACTATTTATATTTTGGAAAATTTTACTCCACTACATTCCTAAAGAAAATAATGTACTTTCTACTCCATACATTTTCCCTGACACCCAAAAGTAATCGTTACATTTTGAATGCTTAGCAGGACAGGAAACTGGTCCAATTCACACACTTATCCAGAGAACATCCCTGTTCATCCCTACTGCAGCTGTTCTGGCGGACTCACTAAACATAAATGCTTCGTTTGTAAATTATGTCTGAGTGCTGGAGTGTGCCCCTGGCTATCTGTAAATGTAAAAAACTAAATAATTGTGCCATTCATATAAGAAATATAAGGAATTTGAAATTATTTATACTTTTACTTTTAATACTTAAGTATATTTAAAAACATATACTTTTACTCAAGTAGTATTTTACTGGGTGATTTTCACTTTCGTCATTTTCTAGTAAGGTATCTTTACTTTTACTCAAGCATGAAAATTGGGTACTTTTTCCACCACTGGTTGGAATGTCAACACTGTACTAGCAACAAGTGGATACTGTTGTCTTTTGTATCGTGTGTGTTTTTCTATTCTTCTCTGAATTTCTATTTCACTAGTGTTGTGTTTTGAAATGCTGAATGTCACATCGAAGTATGGCCTTGAGAAAATCAAGGCCCCAACAAATTGAATTGAACTCAATGCAACAACAGGAATTCTTCAAGTAGAGAATCATGGGAAGTGGTCTTACCTGGCCACTGCTTCACTGTACACAAAGCCAGCATCAGCCCTCTTCACGATCTCAAAACACAGGTCTGCTCCATCCATACTGTAGGAGAGAGACAGCGAGAGCGGCAGAGGGAGACGGAGATAGAGGGGCAGAGGGGGAAGGAGAGGGAGGGAGAGAGAGAGAGAGAGGGCGAGAGAGCGAGGGAGGGGAAGAAGAGAGGTCAGTTTGGCATAAAGGTCAATGTAAACGTCCAAACTTCAGGAGGTGAAAAGGCTACCCTTATTAAAGTTTGAAGTGTGTGTTACTGTCTTTACTTTATCTATCCAATACTCAAGACACCACTGCTATGCGTCGGTTTGAAAGCCGTGTGTCTGTGTCTGTCTGTCTGTCTGTGTGATAAAGCTATGGAAGTTCCTCAAAATGAAAATTGTTCGTTTTTATCAAATCCTTTGATGCATATGAGAGAGATGTGAAGCAGGACTTTTCATATTTCATGTTTCACATTAAGGAATGTCATGATGTGTGTTTGTGCACGCGTGCGTGTGTGTGTGTGTCTGGAGTCTTCAGGGACCTAAGGGGAGTTTCCTCTGGTGTGGAATCTTTGTCTTATCTCTGCCTCTTCATATTCCACTGATTGTGCTTTCTTTCTTTCTTTCTTTCTTTCTTTCTTTCTTTCTTTCTTTCTTTCTAGCTCTTTCTTATTTTTCCGCACAACACAAGGGATGCTATTTAAAACAAAAACTGCACAAAACTATTTAGGCAACAGGGATCTTGATCCAGGACGGGATTGAATGTCTCTGCTGTAACCAAGAAGCTTAATATTGACTTCTAGACACTTAGCTAGCAAGTTAGCAAACCAAATGCATAGCTGGAGCCCTGAGCTGGATATCATTTATTTGACACATCTTAGATTTCTTATCGTTATACTTAACTTATAAGCAATGGTGTAACCCCCAACCCACAAAATATATATAAATATATTTTAACGATATTGAAAATCATACTGTCGGTATTTTGAAATAACCCGGTATATGGCATTAACGCTATATCGCCCAAGCCTATCTCTCACCCCCTTTCCCGCTCTCTCCCTCTCCTGCTTTCTCGATCACTTCTTCTACCACCTGGCCACTCGGGCTCCTTCTCCGTTTCAGCCCTCCGCCATTCTCTTCTTGCTCTATCAGCGTTCTCTCACTCTCTTTCTCCTATTATCACAAAACCTCTCACTTCAACACATTCTATAACAGCTTTCTACACTGATACACACACACACCCCTTTACCCATATTTTGGCCTGATAACTAGCATAGCTATGCTAGCGTCAGCGAGCAGTAGGAATCCCATTACCAGCTGTCGCATCAATAATACCACTTCTAGCATGACTGCACTGCAACATGACAGAAAGACTGAACTGATGGTGATGGGAGCTCCCACTGATTCTAACTGATCATATCAAACCTTATCACATACAGAATAAAATACTTTGATATAAAAAATGCTTGCAGAGTATACCTTGCCGAGTATATACAGTGGGGAAAAAAAGTATTTAGTCAGCCACCAATTGTGCAAGTTCTCCCACTTAAAAAGATGAGAGAGGCCTGTAATTTTCATCATAGGTACACGTCAACTATGACAGACAAATTGAGGGAAAAAAATCCAGAAAATCACATTGTAGGATTTTTTATGAATTTATTTGCAAATTATGGTGGAAAATAAGTATTTGGTCACCTACAAACAAGCAAGAATTCTGGCTCTCACAGACCTGTAACTTCTTCTTTAAGAGGCTCCTCTGTCCTCCACTTGTTACCTGTATTAATGGCACCTGTTTGAACATGTTATCAGTATAAAAGACACCTGTCCACAACCTCAAACAGTCACACTCCAAACTCCACTATGGCCAAGACCAAAGAGCTGTCAAAGGACACCAGAAACAAAATTGTAGACCTGCACCAGGCTGGGAACACTGAATCTGCAAAAGGTAAGCAGCTTGGTTTGAAGAAATCAACTGTGGGAGCAATTATTAGGAAATGGAAGACATACAAGACCACTGATAATCTCCCTCGATCTGGGGCTCCACGCAAGATCTCACCCCGTGGGGTCAAAACGATCACAAGAACGGTGAGCAAAAATCCCAGAACCACACGGGGGGACCTAGTGAATGACCTGCAGAGAGCTGGGACCAAAGTAACAAAGCCTACCATCAGTAACACACTACGCCGCCAGGGACTCAAATCCTGCAGTGCAGACGTGTCCCCCTGCTTAAGCCAGTACATGTCCAGGCCCGTCTGAAGTTTGTTAGAGTGCATTTGGATGATCCAGAAGAGGATTGGGAGAATGTCATATGGTCAGATGAAACCAAAATAGAACTTTTTGGTAAAAACTCAACTCGTCGTGTTTGGAGGACAAAGAATGCTGAGTTGCATCCAAAGAACACCATACCTACTGTGAAGCATGGGGGTGGAAACATCATGCTTTGGGGCTGTTTTTCTGCAAAGGGACCAGGACGACTGATCCGTGTAAAGGAAAGAATGAATGGGGCCATGTATCGTGAGATTTTGAGTGAAAACCTCCTTCCATCAGCAAGGGCATTGAAGATTCCATCAGCATGACAATGATCCCAAACACACCGCCTGGGCAACGAAGGAGTAGATTCGTAAGAAGCATTTCAAGGTCCTGGAGAGGCCTAGTCCGTGTTGCCCAGCGACAGCCCCAAAACATCACTGCTCTAGAGGAGATCTGCATGGAGGAATGGGCCAAAATACCAGCAACAGTGTGTGAAAACCTTGTGAAGACTTTGCCAACAAAGGGTATATAACAAAGTATTGAGAAACTTTTGGTATTGACCAAATACTTATTTTCCACCATAATTTGCAAATAAATTCATTAAAAATCCTACAATGTGATTTTCTGGATTTTTTTTTCTCCTTTTGTCTGTCATAGTTGACGTGTACCTATGATGAAAATTACAGGCCTCGCTCATCTTTTTAAGTGGGAGAACTTGCACAATTGGTGGCTGACTAAATACTTTTTTCCCCCACTGTAAGTGTGTGTGTGTGTGTGATCATGTGTAATAGATAAGTTACAGTGTGTGACAGACTTACAACTCGAAGACCATGTAGAGCATGCCTTCCGAACTGTATGTCTCCACCAGCTCTACGATGTGAGGGTGCTTCAGCATGTGGCAGATACTGGCCTCTCTCTTCAGATCTGTGGAGGTAAGCGAAAGAGAGAGAAAGGTTAGAGGTCAGGGGTTAGAGTTCATGGTCTCTGGCTTTCTAGAGAAAAGCATCATGTACAGTTTAAATGAGAGAAAAAAACAATGCTCTACGTTAGGCTAGATCAATACACATGCCTCATCGCTATAACTACTCAATCTGAAAAAGAAAATAAATGTGGTAAATATCATGTGAGAGCTTGAGTTTTGGGGAGAGTGATGTGCATGGGGAGAAAATTCGATTGCTTGAACAAATCAATATTCTAAGTCTTCAACAGGGATGCTAATGGGGTATTGCACTGTCATCCTAAACAAGATGGATTGAAGGTATAAACTCTAACAGGTATTATAAACCGAGTGGTTCAAGCCCTGAATGCTGATTGGCTGACAGCCGTGGTATATCAGAGAGTATACCATGGGAATGACAAAACATTTATTGTTTACACTGGTAACCAGTTTGTAATAGCAATAATGAGAGTTTGTGGTATACGGCCAATATATCACGGCTAAGGGATGTATCCAGGCACCCAGTGTTGTGTCGTGCATAAGAACAGCCCTTAGCTGTGGTATATTGGCCATATACCACACCCCCTCATGCCTTATTGCTTAAATAAGCCTCTTACCTCAAGCTTGCTCCTCAGATACTAGTTAGAATGGCAAAAGGAGCACTATAGTAGAGAACAGTCAATGTGTGTGATTTCTCCTTGGTGCAGAATTATTTTGAAATGTATACGAAAGACTAGAGTCAGAACTCAAACAATTGCAGAAAGTGACTTTCCAGATAGCACTTTTAGAAATTGTGTTTGATTTGTACAGCAGCGTGTGTCTGGGATGGAAGGAGTTGACACTGGATTTAGAAACACTCACTGCATTGGTCCCAGTACTAGAGACAGTGCAGCTGACTCATTGTAGAGCCTGGTGTCTGCTGTTAAGACTAGCCAACACCAGGGGGAGCTATCAGGCGCTAACATGAAGCTTCATCTAAACAGGCAACGTGTGTTACTGTTACTCCTCTCTCCTTCCCTCTGTCCAATGTGAGGTCCTACCCTGACATCTTCCTCGCCTCTCTCCCTTCCTCCTCCCATACCTCTCTTTGTCCCTCCCTATCGTCCTGACCCAGTTGGCAAACAGACCAACAGAAATACCTCTAGCCTTTTATATATACATTTGAGTCATTTAGCAGACTATCCAGAGCGACTTACAGTAGTGAGTGCATACATTTTCATGCTTATTTTTTTCAGTACTGGTCCCCACTGTACTGCACTACACAGTGTACAAAACATTAAGGACACCTTCCTAATATTAAGTTGCACCCCCCGCCCCCCTTTTGCCCTCAGAACAGCTTTAATTCGTCAGGGCATGGACTCTACAAGGTGTCGAAAGCGTTCCACAGGGATGCTGGCCCATGTTGACTCCAATGCTTCCCACAGTTGTGTCAAGTTGGCTGGACGTCCTTTGGGTGGTGGACCATTCTTGATACACACGGGAAACTGTTGAGCGTGAAAAACCCAGTAGCGTTGCAGTTCTTGACACAAACTGGTGCGCCTGGCACCTACTACCATACCCCGTTCAAAGGCGCTTAAATCTTTTGTCTTGCCCATTCACCCTCTGAATGGCACACAATCCATGTCTCAATTGTCTCAAGGCTTAAAGATCCTTCTTTAGCCTGTCTCTTCCCCTTCATCTACACTAATTGAAGTGGATTTAACAAGTAACATCAATAAGGGATCATCCTGTAGCTTTCACCTGGATTCACCTGGTCAGTCTATGTCATGGAAAGAGCAGGTGTCCTTAATGTTGTGTACACTCAGTGTATATTACAGAGTGAGAGAGAACCAATAGATCAACACAAACATACTGCATGTTGTTTAGACTACAGCACTATCTT